GTACGGAGATGTTTTTACTGATTTCCCCCAAAACCCCAAAACCCCATTGAAGATTTGAAATAGAATAAAGCAGTGAGATATTAATGAATGGTGAAATGCTTGATGATACTTAAAAAAATTATTCGATTTTAATAATATAGAAATATCTATTTCTAGCAGAAGAGATAATTTAATATGGAGGTTAAATAAATATCAAAGTTCCTATACATTTTCAATTGCTTTTCTGCTATAGCCTTTGATACAACCAAGTTACTTAAGTTAGGGCACTATTGATGCTTATTTATTTTGTAAAAGTTCATTGTAATATGCAGAAACATTTTACTGAAAATAATTGGGTCTCAATTTCATTCATATTCACTTTTCCGCCAATTAAAGAAAGAAAAACATATGCTTGTGGCATCCTCTTTTTTTCTGGCTCATTATGATGTTTTTCTCATGTACCTTTCATGAAAATCAAAATCATAAAAATCCCTCATAATTTACGCCACAAGATTAGAATCTGCCAATTATTGCTTCTGAAATCCTATGATTGCAAATTGTTTTAGGCTTTCTAAGGCTCTAGAGTGTATTGGATCTTTTGTCTATTAATTTTCACAGTATTAGATATCTATAAAATTATTTCTTTAAAATGAGAAAAGTATTACTCCCTACAGTGTTTTTCATCGCGTAATATGCTGCTATCCAAGTCAGCCAAGCTCTCTAGAAGAACAGAGCAGAGCTTTCATGGAGACAAGAAGTTACTAACAAGTTTTCTTGGAATGCAACATAAGAACTCAAGTGGTCAGTGGTCAATGCCTTCATTGATGTCTAAACTTCCCCTGATGGTGATGTTTACGCCATTCAAAACATTTCTTCAGAGATGTCAACTCCCAAGTATAGTGCCTACTTGTTTAATACTACTTCCAATATATGGGAGTTGGTAGCTAGAACTCCCCAAGTAAAGGCTGTCAGATTCGACAGATTAGGGAGCATGTTCTATCTCACTCCAGATAATTGCGTACTTACCTCATAAAACATATCTTTATTGTGCGGTGTTAAAGACTTTGAGGTCACTGTTGACAGAAAGATCTTCGGGCTTAACGATGGCTCAGGTAGACTTCCAACTGATACTCTTGCAGGATAGTGGAAGACAGCTTCAGGTGACAACTCCTATTCCTATAAGGCTCTCTCTGGATTCAAAGGATTAACACTGCTGAAAGATCAACCCATCTTTATTGCAGAGGATGGGTCAGTAGATGCTTAGTATGGATCTGAAAAACTAGTGTCCATCAGTGCAGGTATAGACGGTTCCTTATGGGCGCTTCAACAACAGAGTGATGTCAATGACTTCCAACTACTTAAGTGGCAGACCGTAGCCTAGAAATGGTACAAGGTAAATGGTGCCAAGGGTACATGTCTCTCTGCTTATAATGAAATCTCAGTCGCAATCGTCGATTCTAAAGGACTTTTGAGCCTTTCATCACAGGCTGGCTTATAAATTAAGGCGAGATATGCAGAGGATTTCATTTCAACCATGTCTATTGATGATATTAATTGGCTGAAGTCCTCCATTACAGGAAAGCAATTCTCTAAACTCACTCTCTTAGAAACTGTAAAGCCTGGTTAATTTACTGTGGAGGAAGTTAGGGATTCATTTGTAGGGAAATCTAATATCTTTATAATCTATTTTAACAACTTTAAAAAGGTAGTGGGGTTGTATTTTGAAGATCCTCTTGCTAAAGCTCCTGTTGACTCTTCTGAAACGACTATCAACTTAAAATCTAAAATAGCTATCTTACGTGTCACAGATCGACAAAAATTGATTTATGAGAAATCTGAAGGCTATGTGAATCAATAATTGGTTGAATCATAGTCAACAATTGTAGGTTACGACAAAGGAGATATAAATATTAAACTCAATTGCGTAGGTTAAGGATCACTATCAGAATTTGAAGGAGTTGATGTAGTATAATTATAAGAAAGTGAAGGGACTGCGAATTCAATAACTGGATCTTCTACATAAAGTTAAGCTTCAAAAATGCACTGTCTTCGGATTGAAATCTTCCAGGGAGAATGATTTTTTTATTTATTGAACTAAAAATTTAATACTATTGAACATTAAATCCATTAAAATTAAGATTTTATGAGTTAATTGTGAACTAAACTTATTCTAAACTTAGGCTGACTGAATAAAAACATTTACATAATAATTACTCTTCTTATTCTTTATTTTTCTGCATGGGGTTTTGGGGTTTTGGGGTTTTGGGG